TCGTTGTAGACAAGTGGCAACTCCTGGATATTTGTTTAACGATACAGAAGAACCCTATGAGAAATAAACGAGGGATCTAGAAGCAAAAGTACCATTGAGCCCTGTACTTTCGAAACGGCCTATTGTTTAGAATGCAGCACACCGTTTTAGAATGTGAGTGGCACCCGTTTTACTTAAGCAGTGGTGAGGGGATTCAAACCGACTCAGGTGTGTGGCTATGGCATCTGGGACATATGCATACAACACAAGGCGTACGCCGACCTTTACGAGTATTCGCATAAATTACAGTGTCGCAAAGTATCAATTATATAATAGTATTCAAGTTGAATCGTTCTTTCCGTGGTAGACTGCAGGATTTTTTTTTCCCTTGGCACTACAGCCCCAGTGGGCCTAGGCCTACCTCCATGAATTTCTCCGTTCACTTCGGTTTTTCTAGATATTACACATTCGGTATGACTCCTTGGGCGGGCGATCAGCTCGTCGCAAGGCCTCTACCTGTACACAGACACAGAAAAACGCACACAAACATCCATGCCCTGAGTGGGACTCGAACCCACGATCCCAGTTTCCAAGCAAGCGAAAACAATACATGCCTTAGATCGCTCGGATACCGTGACCGGCCAGACTGCAGGATTATGGATACAAATTTCAACGTAAAGCCACTTTTAAAACCGCATACGGACCTATGTTTATACCTGCACTAACTAAATATATAACAGAAAAACATTCAAATAAACCATTTACATATTAAGTAAATAAACAAGTACCCAAATTAATACATATGTACGTAAATACGAACAAGCAAATGTACATATAAATGTATACTCATGTGCAGGAGGTGTGCGTTACTTATGGACTGGTTCTGGATTGGATGATTGGATTCACTCACACATTACACACACAACTCGGGATTGCAGGCAATACAGCGCTATCAAGCGCTAGACACTTCGCAGCTCACCGCGACACACGCACTAAGGTTTTCAGCCTTCACTAGTCGTCTCCTGGCAACGGATTTATAACAGTCTATCACGTCACATCTCATGTGAAGTCTTATTTTCACAGTCTTGTTCCATTCTTGTCATTATTCTGCAACTGCCAGCTTAATTCAATTTCTCTGCTCCCAAGTTCATACCTCGACAGGCTCGTGTCTCGAAATTCGACTCTTCTCAAATGAACTGTTCTTTATGTTCATTTTGCATGGATCACGCAGAAGAGACAGCCTCTCTATTGTTGGGAAGGCGTGTTTACAGCGCTGCTGTATAGCAACGGAAGTTACTCGATTGTTGCTTATGTATTTGTTGCCGCGGGAACGTCTTTACCGAGCATTTCCTATTCTGACTTCACTATTCTGGCTTTCGGGCGTCAAGTCACAATATGAACTATATACATTATATAATCAGATAAAGACATAAATATACAAACAGGTTACATATATAAACAAATTATGAAAGGGAGACAAAATATAGGTAAACGGTTAAAAATACGGACAGTAGTGAAAACAGAGTTGATAACAAAGCTACCAATTAAATCTGAGGTTCTACAGCAGCCGTTATGAAGAGTACGGTCTTCTGGGTTGTAAAGCTGTGTAGTTCGGAGGAACATACCGTCTCGACGTTAAGGGTAGGACGGTAGGCCATGCATCGTCTCGTCTCCTACGCAGTTAAGAACACTTTTGAGAAACCTGGTGCCATCGTCTACTTTTGCTACAAAGTCTAGTTGGCACCCACTCGCCAGACTACCAAGATGTCATAAGCCAGATAACCATAACCTAAATTTTCCCCACTGCAAAAATCTCAAATCTCATTCAAATCACATGCATAATGTTATATGCAGATCGTAATAACTGAACTCCATTATAAAGAATTACTAAACTAAGATAACGATTTTCTGAACATTTTTTTGTAATAATACCAAATCGTTAAATCGTCAGCGGGTTGGGCACTGTACAACGTCTAATGACTATTTCATACACGTGACGGTTAGGAAGTTGACTCTAATTCCGTCTTCAAACAATCCAAGTAATGTTGCTTTATATGGATACAGACCTTTGAAATGAAAGATATTATGATGCTATAAAGAAGCAAAATACCATGACCACAGCGGAAAACACTTTCGTTGGCGACGATAGGTGACGAGTCATCGCAACGTGACACATGAAAAAGCTATAGTACCATAAATTCACACGCCTAAGCACAGTGGTTAATATTTGTAGTAGGCTATTAAAGACTAGCACCGGAAGTTGAACCCTACAACAAACCACGCTGACGACGTCTTTAACACCTATTTTTAATTTGACATTTCTTACACGTGGATGAGAGAATAATATTAAAAAGGGTCTTAAAATAATAGAGAGACTTCGTTTCAGTTAGCTCAGAATAGGGACGAATGGAGGACTCTTGTGAACATCCGTAATCGACTCTTGGATTCAATATAATTAGGGGCATTTCTTGAGTAACTGAGCAATAATTAGTTCCTCAAGAGGAATTCTATTCCACTGAGATGGTCATTTAGATTTCAGCCATAAGTTAATAAATACATATCAGATTTTAGAATTACTTGGTTTTTGGACTTCGTCCATCGTCCGGTATTCTAGAAACTGGATCTGTTTCCGTCCTCAGATGAGGGGGGAGACACCTACTGCGATGGGTCCCTGAAAGAGCTGAGGGAAATCACTGCACAACCCATCAGATTCACTACAGCTATTTAAACACTTGAGACCAGGCTAATTCGGCGGGAGGTAACAAGAAAATATGTAATAAAATTGTGACAGAGCACGCACATGCGTGGTACTAGAATAGAAAAGTAGGTAGAAATTTATGCTACAAACATAGCGAACAAAATCAAGTGCATGAACACGAATTCATAGAAAAAAATTGCGAAAGTCAGAACTACAGAATCTGTATATCATCTTATTTACTACTAAAATATAAAATGATAACAGGAAAGGCAAAGAAGTTGTGGTCATTTAAAAAAGCATTTCATTAGACGTACCAGAGCGTAGCAGCAGTTAACAATTATAGGCAAAGAGAAGAAAAATATACAGCACTGTCACCGTTCCTCGCTAAGCCACGTGAAAATCCGTGAAAGTTATCCTTCCAGTGCTTGGACAAACCGCTTGGTACCAACAGTCCTATCTGTCGCTGTCTGTGCCTCTGAACTATACAGTGAGTGAAGTGAATCAAAATCCGTGCAACAGGTAAGCCAGAAGGCGATTCTTATACAACCAGGTGGCATATTTTGGTTATAAAATTAAAGAACAATTTTTATGTGCATCTATACGTAAATGCTTTGTGAATAGATACAGTAGAATTACTGTCAATGAACTCTAAGTACTTATACATGAAATTAATTGGTAAGTTCCGATGTACTGAAAATAACTTAAATTGATCGTATACACACAATTTTAGTTCCAATAACTTCCGGATGTGAGGTTGCCGGCCTTAACCGTTTAAAAAGAATTTTCTGTTAGACACTCATTTATAAGAATTAATGGATTTTGGACTTTTCCTCCGTTCGGTATTCTAGAAATTAGAAAAAACAACGTTTCGGAAACCGGATCTGTTTCCGTCCTCAGGTAAGAGGGGGGGGACACCTACCTAATTGGGTCCCTTAGAAGCAGCTAACCTCAGTCACGTTGTGTTCTCTAGTTTCTAGAATATCGGACAATGGAAAAAGTCCAAAATTCCAGCAATTCTAAGTGTTACACACCATCCTCAGAACCATTCAGAATCTTCTGATTTCTAAACTCTCCACTTATTGTATTCCATTATGCAAAATTTGACTTTATAAACATCATATCACGGATTCATTATAACGAAATATATAATACAACAGAAAATTCTACAGTTGGTGTTCGAGATATTCTATTCTCCTGTATGAGGAGAACTATCTTTTTATGAAGTTCACCGATGTTTCGGAGGTATGTTCTTCCTCTACTGTCGATTGCTGCTTGCTCCTTTCTTGACTTACACTTCGACCCTGAAGATAGAGGCAGTATGTTCGTCCGAAACGTCAGTGAACTTATACCAGACTACACGACAGACAGTACTCTTAACAGTTACAGATGTCAGTACCAAAACCCGACATAACCTCTTCCACTTTCCGAGTTTCTTCAGTCATAAAAATCTAATACTCGTCACTATCTTCAAATTAACATCTGTAAAACTCAGCTTGAGGACCATTCTAATGGCAATGTAACTGTGACGAACCGCGACGGTGAGAAGGAAGGGATGAAGGAAGGGGGAAATATCTACAACAAGACGATCATTTTTTTCCCCCTTGGCACTACAGCCTCAGTGGGCCTAGGCCTACCTCCATGAACTTCTCCGTTCACTTCGGTTTTTCTAGATCTCACACATTCGGTAGGACTCCTTGGGCGGGTGATCAGCTCGTCGCAAGGCCTCTACCTGTACATAAACACAGAAAAACGCACACACACAAACTAAACACCCATGCCCTGAGTGGGATTCGAACCCACGATCCCAGTTTCCAAGCGAGCGAAGACAGTACATGCCAAGACGATTATTAGTGATGTCAAAAACAAACGCAAACTGCGCGCAAGAGATAATAAACTGCATGAAAATGTCTGCTGCTGTGATTAAAAGAACATTACGGTGGAAACGGATTAGAATGAGGTACCAAATCGTTAATGGCGGGGACCTCGATCCATCCGTGCCGTGAAATTTTGAGTTATGTATCAAGAATAATTAAAGGAAAATGGATTAAAAACCTGACAACGGTTAGAAATCCAGATACGGGCTGTGACTCCATTCGGCGCGTACAGCGATAAAGCTTGAACCCAGCGGAGAGATAAACATGAAAGAAGTCATCATCATTACAACTGATTGCTAAATTCGAACTAGATTCAAAGAGCACTAGACGGCAAAGAAGTGTTTTCACTTGCTAATAGGCCACATTGCTGCAACGAGGGCCACTTTGCAGATCGTGTGTGGAGGAGGGGGTGGCTACATGATGGAGGGGGGGGGCTCAGTGAAGTTACGAACTGATGGAAGGAGAGTTCTTTAGTCGTCGTAGATACAGATGATCTAGTTAGTTGGATTCGACAAAAAGTTTAATCGCTTCAGACGACGGACTCATAGGCATTGTGCTGTGATAAAAAAGGTAAGAATACTGTTACTCTTAATCAACTATAATGACGTGTTAACATCTTAAACGAAAAAAAAAAAAACAAATAATTTTCTATTGAAATTATCTGTGTGAATACACCGCGACCAGAACGAAACGTAAAATGTGAGTTCCTCTTACATTCCGCACTGCTTTAATTTGCAATTCTTAAACCGTGTTACTGGAAACTGTGAAGACTACAATAATGAAGCGACTCAACATTCTTGCTGAAACTGTGTCATGGAACATGATTCTGTAATTAAAGTGATCTATTATGGTTAAACACTGTTGTGCTATGATAAAGTGATTACGATATACACAGGGCATAACTGCAGTGACCGGTTGTACTGTATGCACTTCCTCCGTAAGAAGATAAGCAATGAACAGACTGGAACTGGATTTAATACCGTGTCATAGCTCAGGCGGTTAGTCGCTGGCTTCCCACCGCTGCGGCCCGGGTTCGATCCCAGATCAGATCTTGTAGGATTTGTGATGGATAAAGTGGAGCTGGAATAGGTTTTCTCCGAGTACTTCGGTTTCCCCCCCAATTCTTATTGCACCGACTGCTTCGTTCTCATCATCATCATCTGGGGCTAGTTATAACGAGCCAAACAGTGGCTGATGTATCAAGTGAATTCACTCTCACCCCACCCTAAGAAACTCATAAAATATAAGACTGGATTTGGTATCCTTTACGTGCGTAAAGCAACCGTGACAACTGACTTCTGGTACTTATGATATCGGTAGCCCTACGATTAACGAACTTCACAATTTTTCTCCAAACAAGCTTATTCTAAAAAAAAAGAGGGTATATAATCAAAGCGGGGCGGTCACGTTAGTAGAGCGGTCTAAGGCATGCACTGTCTTCGCTCACTCGGAAGCCGGGATCGTGGATTCGAATCCCACTCACGGCATGGATGTTTAGTTTGTGTGTGTGCGTTTTTCTGTGTTTGTGTACAGGTAGAGGCCTTGCGAAGAGCTGATCGCCTTCCCAAGGAGTCCTACCAAATGTGTAAGATCTAGAAAAA